AAGCACCCCCTGACAGATGTCCATCCAGCCTCTGTTTAAAAACTTCCAAAGAAGGAGCCTCCACCACACTCCAGGGCAGAGAGTTCCTCTGCTGAACAGCTCTCACAGTCAGGAAGTTCTTCCTAATGTTCAGATGGAATATCCTTTCCTGTAGTTTGAAGTCATTGTTCCATTGCGTCCTAGTCTCCAGGGCAGCAGAAAACAAGCTTGCTCCTTCCTCCCTATGACTTTCTCTCACATAGAATCAAAGAGTTGGAAGAGACCTCATGGGCCATCCAGTCCAACCCCCTGCCAAGAAGCAGGAATATTGCATTCAAATCACCCCTGACAGATGGCCATCCAGCCTCTGTTTAAAAGCTTCCCAAAGAAGGAGCCTCCACCACACTCTGGGGCAGAGAGTTCCACTGCTGAACGCTCACAGTCAGGAAGTTCTTCCTCATGTTCAGATGGAATCTCCTCTCTTGTAGTTTGAAGCCATTGTTCCGCGTCCTAGTCTCCAGGGAAGCAGAAAACAAGCTTGCGCCCTCCTCCCTGTGGCTTCCTCTCACATATTTATACATGGCTATCATATCCCCTCTCAGCCTTCTCTTCTTCAGGCTAAACATGCCCAGCTCCTTAAGCCGCTCCTCATAGGGCTTGTTCTCCAGACCTTTTATCATTTTAGTCGCTCTCTTCTGGACACATTCCAGCTTGTCAATATCTCTCTTGAATTGTGGTGCCCAGAATTGGACACAATATTCCAGGTGTGGTCTAACCAAAGCAGAATAGAGGGGTAGCATTACTTCCCTAGATCTAGACACTATGCTCCTATTGATGCAGGCCAAAATCCCATTGGCTTTTTTGCCGCCACATCACATTGTTGGCTCATGTTTAGCTTGTTGTCCACAAGGTCTCCAAGATCTTTTTCACACGTACTGCTCGAGCCAGTCATTCCCCATTCTGTATCTCTGCATTTCATTTTTTCTGCCTAAGTGGAGTATCTTGCATTTGTCACTGTTGAACTTCATTTTGTTAGTTTTGGCCCATCTCTCTAATCTGTCAAGATCGTTTTGAATCCTGCTCCTGTCCTCTGGAGTATTGGCTATCCCTCCCAATTTGGTGTCGTCTGCAAACTTGATGATCCTGCCTTCTAGCCCTTCATCTAAGTCATTAATAAAGATGTTGAACAGGACTGGGCTCAGGACAGAACCCTGCGGCACTCCACTTGTCACTTCTTTCCAGGATGAAGAGGAAGCATTGGTGAGCACCCTCTGGGTTCGTCCATTTAACCAATTACAGATCCACCTCACCGTAGTTTTGCCTAGCCCACATTGGGCTAGTTTCCTTGCCAGAAGGTCATGGGGGACCTTGTCGAAGGCCTTACTGAAATCCAGGTACGCTACATCCACGGCATTCCCCGCATCTACCCAGCTTGTAACTCTATCGAAAAAAGAGATCAGATTAGTCTGGCATGACTTGTTTTTGATAAATCCATGTTGACTATTAGAGATGACCGCATTTGTTTCTAAGTGTTTGCAGACCACTTCCTTAACAATCTTTTCCAGAATCTTGCCTGGTATCGACGTGAGGCTGACCGGACGGTAATTGTTTGGGTCATCCTTTTTTCCCTTCTTGAAGATTGGGACCACATTGGCCCTCCTCCAATCTGCTGGAACTTCTCCCGTTCTCCAAGAACTCTAAAAGATGGTTGCCAATGGTTCCGAAATGACTTCCGCTAGTTCCTTCAGTACTCTTGGGTGTAGTTGATCTGGCCCTGGGGACTTGAACATTCCAGCTTGTCAACATCTCCCTTCAATTGCAATGCCCAGAATTGGACACATTATTCCAGATGTGATCTGACCAAGGCAGAATAGAGGGGTAACATGACTTCTCTGGATCAAGAGACTATACTATTGATGCAGGCCAAAATCTCATTGGCTTTTTTTTTTTAGCATGACTTTCAGGGAAGTCATGCTACCCCGCTATTCTGCCTTAGTCAGACCACACCTGGAATACTGTGTCCAACTCTGGGCATTGCAGATGAAGGGAGATGTTGACTCTAAGCTGGAATGTGTGCAGAGGAGGGCGACCAAAATGATTAAGAGTCTGGAGAACAAGCCCTATGAGGAGCGGCTTAAAGAGCTGGGCCTGTTTAGACTGCAGGGGAGAAGGCTGAGAGGAGACATGATGGCCCTGTATAAATATGTGAGGGGAAGTCATAGGGATTAGGGAGCAATCCCTATCTGCTGCCCTGGAGACTAGGATGCGGAACAATGGCTTTAAACTACAGGAAATTCCACCTGAACATGAGGAGGAACTTCCTACCTGCAAGCGCTGTTCAGCAGTGGAACTCTCTCTCTCTGCCCCAGAGTGTGGTGGAGGCTTCTTCTTTGGAGGCTTTTAAACAGAGACTGGATGGCCATCTGTCAGGGGGTACTTTGAATGCAATTTTCCTGCTTCTTGGCAGGGGGTTGACTGGATGAGGTCTCTTCCAACTCTATGATTCTATGAGTTTATGATTCTGGAATATGGCAATACAGCCCAGAAAACTCACAACAATACAATGATTCTGGCCTTCAATAACATATTTTACTAGTTTGTCTGCCAGAAGGTCATGGGGGACCTTGTCGAAGGCCTTACTCTTTTTGATAAATCTGTGTACACTATTTGCGATGACTGCATTCATTTCTAAGCGTTTGCAGACCACTTTCTTAATGATCTTTTCCAGAATATTGCCTGGTATTGACTGGATGGGTTTTTTTCATGTCAGGATCAACTTGCGAAACTGCAAGTCGCTTCTAGTGTGGGAGAATTGCCCACCTGAAGGGACATTGCCCAGGGGATGCCTGGATGTTTTACCATCCTGCAGTAGGCTTCTCTCATGTCCCCATATTATAAGCTAGAGCTGACAGATAGGAGCTCACCCTGCTCCCCAGATTCGAACCGCCAACCTTTCAGTCAGCAGTCTGTCAGCACAAGGTTTTGACTCATTGAGCCACTGGAGGTGCCACCTGACAGTAATTACTTTATTTTCCAGCATAGAAGACAACTGGGCATATAAGACGACCCCCAACTTTTCCATCTAAAATTGAGTGTTTAGGATATGCTCACTGTATAAGACCATCCCCCCTTTTTGTAGTAGCTTGAGAGAGCCTTCTTCTCTCCGGGCTTGAGGGTCGTTTTCTGCCAGAGGCTCATGGTGAGGGAGAGCCAGGATAGGCTGCTGCCACTGGCGGGGACGGCCCAGCGGTCTCTTCTTCCTCCTACTCCTGCTGCACCTGAGGAGGAGGGAGCTTTCTTTGCTCCAGGATTGAGGATCATCTTCTGTTGGAGGCTCATGGTGATGCAGACCCAGCATTAGGCCGGCGGGGGCAGGGACAGCCCAGCAGTCTCCATTGTAATGCGGCTTGCCGCTCCAAACCCCCCCCCCCCCATTCTCCTCCTCCTCAGGCCATGCCGCTCGGGACGCTGAGGGCAGGGGAGGCAGGAAGATGTCCTCCCACTGGAGCAGGGCACCCGGAGCAGCTGCTGCTGTGCCCCTCTGGCACTGCTTGGCTCCCTCTGTTGTGCTTCAGTTTCCCTGAGGGGCTCATCCACTCTTTGCCCACCGCGGCGGCAACAAAAGAGGAGGAGGGGGTAATGTGAGGGAGCTACTGGGCGACAAAAGGAGGAGGAAGACTTGAGGCTTTTGCTTGGCACCCTTGCTGAAGTAATCAATAGGAGCACAGTGTCTAGATCTAGGGAAGTAATGCTACCCCTCTATTCTGCTTTGGTTAGACCACACCTGGAATATTGTGTCCAATTCTGGGCACCACAATTCAAGAGAGATATTGACAAGCTGGAATGTGTCCAGAGGAGGGCGACTAAAATGATCAAGGGTCTGGAGAACAAGCCCTATGAGGAGCGGCTTAAGGAGCTGGGCACGTTTAGCCTGAAGAAGAGAAGGCTGAGAGGAGATATGATAGCCATGTATAAATATGTGAGAGGAAGCCACAGGGAGGAGGGAGCAAGCTTGTTTTCTGCTTCCCTGGAGACTAGGACGCGGAACAATGGCTTCAAACTACAAGAAAGGAGATTCCATCTGAACATGAGGAAGAACTTCCTGACTGTGAGAGCCGTTCAGCAGTGGAACTCTCTGCCCCGGAGTGTGGTGGAAGCTCCTTCTTTGGAAGCTTTTAAACAGAGGCTGGATGGCCATCTGTCAGGGGTGCTTTGAATGCAATATCCCTGCTTCCTGGCAGGGGGTTGGATGGCCCATGAGGTCTTTTCCAACTCTATGATTCTATGATTCTATAAGCACCCACCCTTTAAGCAACATTTACGCATCCCTTCCAAAATATTTAATATAATAAATTTTATACCCGGCATATTACTTGACCCCCGACTTCTGAGTGGATTTTCCAGAGTTAAAAAGTCATCTTATATTCCAGAAAGTACAGTATTTGGGTCATCCTTTTTTCCTTCTTGAATATAGGGACCACATTTGCCCTCCTACAAGCTGCTGGGATTTATCCCACTCTCCAAGAACTCTCAAAGATGATTGCCAGTGTTTCTGAAACAACCTCCGCTAGTTCCTTCAATAGATCATCTATTGCCATTCCCCACTGAATGGAAAAATTGTACATGAAAGCTATACCTGACGGAACATGCTACCATCCCAGAATTATTTAAAATATTTTTTCTCATCAACCAGGAGGGGTGAAATTCATGACTGAATTTATCCCAGAAGTGTACTTGGCACAGTTCTGGAAATAAACAACTTTGTCAACAAAGAGACAACATGTTCAGCCAGAAGTGTTCAATCTCTGAAAGGGTAAAAATAGAAAACTGTTGGAATATGATGAATCCCACTGAAATACCAAGATATTTTGAATAATTGAGTATCTTGAGACATTGCATCAATTTAAGCTTATTTTATTTTGGACTTAATTGTCTCCTTTTTTTATTTATTTAGGGGTACTAATTGCATTCAATTAAAAGGCTAAAGAGCATAACATCAGTGAAGAAAACAGAAAACTTACTCTGAGAGAAGAGAGATCATCTTCTACGTTAAGGAAGTCCTGGATAGTATTTCCAACGGGGGTCAGCACACGGTCAATGACGTGCACAACACCATTTGTCGCAATCTGGTTGCCATGGATGACTCTGGCACAGTTAACGGTGACAACCTATATTTCGAGAATAGTGTGAGAAAATGTTCAGAAGAAAACTTGCTATATAATTGCCTCTCTTTCTCTTTGGCTGTTGGCAATCAAAGGTATATGCTGGCAGATTTACATATTTCTTTGTTTTTTATTCTTTTTTATAATTTGTTTATGCAATGTGCAATGTTCTTGAAACAATCTAAATGGTACATATTTTGCAATGTCTTCTTGCTTGTAAGTTACATTTCATTCCCTAGTATTACAGGGTTGGTAGCAGTCACAGATTTTAAGCTGATTGCAATTAAAGAGAATCACATGGTTTTGTTGTTAGTAACTACCATAAACTCAACTCTTACTTATAGTGACCCTTGACAAGATTTCTTGGGGTTGCTTTTGCCTTCCTCTGAGGCTGATAGTGTGACTTGCCCTAGGTCACCCAGTGGGTTTCCATGCCTAAGCAGGGGTTCAAACCCTGCTCTTCTGGAGATCTAAAGCTGGAGATCATTTAATGCAGTTAGAATTCAGATTAACTGCAATGAGCTGGAATATATGGCAATATAAACTCATATAATCCAGTTCAAGTTTAGCATGCATGATATGGCAGTGTAGATGGATCCTTAACCAATACTGTCTCTCTCAAAACATAAGGTTAGAGCTTCATTAGTTATCATGAAGTTTACACTAAGAACATTATAATTAAATGTAAGAATACAAATGGTTTAGATTCCAAATATTTCAGTCAGAATCAATGGGACTTCATGTGCCTGCATATTAATATTTGCCCTATTTAAGAAACTAGCCCTGGTACTAGTTTGATGTCTTTTGTGAACTAGGGAAACTCCTTAATAAAACATCTAGAGATTTTAGCATCTTTAAACTCTCAGTCTTTTAATTGGACTTTTAACGGCTGGTTGTTTTATATGTATCTTTTATTCTTTTATTAATTTTAATATTTGTAAGCTACCTGGATTTAATTAATTATAGATTGATTAGATTTATTAGGCAGCTGGACATAATTTTTTTTTAAAAAAATACATAGCTCTTAATAACTTCGTACTTAACATAAATTGTCCTCTTCCTGACTTCAGGTTTTGTGTTAGTAGAATTCTGTAAAAGGGAAACAGACTTACTCCATTAGGGTAGTGATTTATATGAAGGTTTTGGTTGTTGTACATAGAGACCAGAGTCATGCCATTCCTAAGGTCCTTGGTCAGCATTCGCTTGTTTACCATGTGGTTATGGAGGGCATTGTACAGTTCAATGTTTACATTCTCAATCAGGCCACTGTGGATTTCCTGGGGAGAAAGACTCAGTTAAAATCTTGCAGAAATAATATCACTCAGCCATATAGGCAGATTTCTCCACCACAAGTAAACCATCTTTTCAAATGTTTTAGAATGCTAATAGATAATAATAAGAAACATAATGCTTGGATAAGTTACTAGGCTTATATTTCATGGTCATCTAACAAAGTTAATAGCTGCTACTTCAAAGTCCCACAGCACCACTTGTTATCAAACTACCCCCCCCCCCACTGCAGCTTATTTTCTTGGAAATCTTTAATAAACAACAAACTCTATAATATATGCAAAAACTTTTATTTGGCTAACCAAAAGGTGCCAAATACATCACACTAGCTTTCAATATTGCCTGAGTCATTTCAGGCAGAAATGATTAAATAGGATAGATAGGAAATATAGTGTTAGGGTGAAGATCCCAGCATCTCCATTTTGTAGCTTTATTTGTTTTTTTGTTTATGTTTAAAGTCATCATGGCTTTACTTGGAACATTTTATGTCTTCCTTAATTTTAAGTTATGTTTTCAACTATTTTTGGGCTCTTTAAGACAGCCCAAAATGCGGGAATTGTCTCACTTTTACCTGAAGTATCTAAATGACGCCTCAGGTAAAAGCAAATTAATGCGGAGAATACTGGGTTTTCCCAGTTTGTTCTGCATTAATTAAACACCCCAAAAGATCTGGAAATTAAGCTAAGGTCTGGTTCTTTCCTGGTACTGGGCCTGTGGGGATTGACTCCCAGAACTGCTTCCACAGTCCCGGGGGTCAATCCCCACAGCCTCCTCAGTTCTCAGAGGGAATGGGCGGGTGCCCACCCCCTCCCCTCCAGCCCACCATTTTCCTGAAAAAACCTTACCAGAGGGGGCTCTCTAAAGAGTACTCCTGATGCACGAAAATTGTACGTCAGGAGAAGGGGGAGTGATTTCCATCCTCCTTCCACCTCCTGACATCATTTTCATGCACCAGGAGGACTGTACTGCACTGCTGGGTTGGAGGTGGGAACAGAAACCTGGGAGGAAGCAAGTTATTTAAACTCACTTTCTCCCTGGTTTAGGGAAGTGTAGAAGGGCCCATCTCAATACAGCAAGTATCATTCTCCATTCCCTTCTCCCCCCCCCCCCCCCCCCCCGTTACTGATCACTTTCTTTGGTGTAACTATTCCCCTTTCCTGCTGGAATACTTTTAAAATATGGAGATAATTACACGGTCCAAAAGATCCCAGGCTTCGTTGCTTGGTGCAAAGAATGTGTAAGAGCCAGGTCCTTCGATCTCTTCTCTCAGCTTTGACATGTCGGAGTATCTCTGAGTGGCAGTAGCTCCCACAATGCCCAAAGTGCCATAGACATGATCTATGGGAGCAACTGAAAGAGAGAAATTGTCAGGAGGATTAAACTTATACTTTTCTACATTTCTACCAATGCCCACTTTACATGTTACACCACTCATATGAGTAGAACATTTTCACATTGATTTATTTTATTTTATTTATTTAGCAGTTTTGTATACCGGTCTTCTCACCTCCATTCGAGGGACTCAGGCCGGTTTCCAACATCAATATTACAGACAGTCATTAAAACATCATATTCTAAATCACACTAAAATATTAACATAGCAAAATACAATCATATAATTACAGTGGTCAGTCGTCATCAAAAATCATTATTCGTCGTCATCCATCCATATCACAGGATCATGCTTCATAGCAGGAACATTATGGATGCATAATCCCAATTTCTCTTCTCATTGGGAATACAATACCTGCTGGACAGCCACGTTCACCTTCCATCTTCATGTAGCCAGGGCAGCATTCGTATAAAACAGTTCTGCAGAGAACCAGAGGATGAGTAAAATATCACTTCATTTCCACAGCATCTTAATCTCTCCTTCTCCACCTCCACCACAATTTTTTTAATCGAAATGCACCAAAAGTTGCTTACTAGAATTAGAAAAGTACAAATGCAAAGCCATTTGTTCATATCCAAATTATACTCAATCTCCCTTGATTTTCTGAAAGCTGTCTGTCTGATGCTGAATTAATATCTGGATGAGAGACCTTCTGGATACACTGAGAATTTCTAGGGAGGACTAGAATTATGTCTGGAGAAATGTTGCTGCTATTCAAGATCTGTGATACTAGACTAGGTGCAAGCTTTCTGTATTCTTATGTTCTGTTACAAAACTGAGCTCAGTAATATATTCACAACTGATGCAGACCTGGTTAACATTAGAATGATAGGTTTTTAGCACCTCACCCAGGGATTGTGAGAGGGTGACTCAGAGCAAACAGTAGAATGGATTACTCTTGGGGTGGATCCAGACAGGCTTTATCCCAGGAGAATCCGTATTTTAAAAACACAGATTTTCCTGGGGGCCTGTTTACACCCACCCCAGAAAGTGAGTCCAGATGTCTGGAGGTCCTACCCCCCTCCCCTGAAGCCCCCAGACCCCTTTGAAAAGTAATGAAAATTTACCCAGCCTCCATTACAGGCTTCGAATAGCTCTCCTGGCACGTACAAATGATGCACCAGGAGGGGGGGGGGCAGGGAGGAAAATCCCCCCCCCCCCCCGCTCTTCTGGTCCGTCATTTCCTCATGCCAGGAGAGCTGCTCAAAGCCTGTAATGGAGGCCTGGTAATTTTTCATTATTTTTCAAAGAGGTCTGGGGGCTTCAGGGGAGGGTTGGGTATTCTCACAATTTACTGGGCTTATTTACTGTGGAAATTGTGTCTGGACTGTAGTCCAGACATCGGAAGTAGTGAATTTATCCTGCACCTTTCAAGCGGGTGTGGAATAAATCCATTATCTATTTAATTCACCACAAACCAGGGTTTTCCTGGTTTGTGGTGAATTGATTTGGGACTGTCCAGAACATTGTCGAGATAGCCTCTCCTTGATTATGGTAGATACTGCAATAAAGGTACTGTCTGGACAGGCCCTTGATTTCCCTGCCTCCACTCAACATAGTGGTGAGTAGCAGTCCTTTTCTGAGAGAAAGAAGTGTCTCAGTTCTTGTCTCCTCCGCTCTTCCTTTCTCTTTGGATCTAGGTTGTCTCTGCTGGCTCCTTCTCCAGGGAGAAAAACTGCCAGTTCTACACTATTCATTTCTCTTGCTTGTGAAAGAGTAACTTATTTCACCATGAACACCCTGCAACAACTTCATGATAAAAACTAGAGAGCTGGTGTTTTTTTCCTTTTGGAGGAAGAGATGACAGAGGCAAGCTAGAGGCAAACAACATGGAAGAGTGGTGTAGCCAAGTTAGAGAAAGTAAACAGAGGTAAAACACTTGGAGGGGGTAATAGTGGGTGCCAATGGCTACTCTGCTCTAGTACTACATATGATCTCCCTCTCTAGGGCCTCTGAGAGCAATACAAAACTATCTGGCCACCAGGCCACATGTTGTGCAGGCATGCACCATAGTATCTATCAATTTTAAATCCTGTGATTGCCTCCTACAGAATTCTGTGGTTTGTAATTTAGGGAGGGCCTTTCAACTGCTCAGTCAGAGAGGCCCTAGTCCCCCCTAACCTACAAAGCCCAGAATACTGCAGGAGGAAGCCACAGGATTTAAAGTGGATAGATGCTTTAGTAGCTTGATCCATTGGTTCATCCTATGCTCCTGAGCAACAGGAAAAAAAAAAATCTCTATATGAGAATTCTTGAGTAGAATAAGTCGATTACTGGATGGAAGTCAAAATTGATGTATAATTCCAATTAATTCAAGCAGTTTGTTTAGTTGAAAGTAGAGTATTGCATTTAGACCAAAGCACACATGGCTTTTATTCTTTACGTCTCCCTTTAAGAGATAACTTCTTTAAGAAGGAAGTACTGGTTGCATTATGACATTCATTTTCTATGTCCCTAACTATTATTAACTGTAGCTCCATTCCTGCTTATAGATATTGTCTAAATGAGTAATCATGTACCCTGTAAGAGTGCTGGATGTAAAGGAATTCAGTTTACTGGTTTATATTAATCAGTGAAAACATATTTTTACCTTTAACTGAGTCATTTAACAACTTAAAACTATAACCTATTACATTTAATTACTTGCTATTTGTTTATGAAAATCCAGCTTTTAGGCTACAGCCCTTCCCTTCCCATGTGAAAGTAAGATGACTTTGTGATGGGTTACATAGATGTAACTGGGTAAGAAGAGTGGATTAGGACTTTATCAAGGGTATTAAAATATATAAACACCGCAAAAATGTTGTAAGATTTTATTTGTGGAGGAGTGTGTGAGCGCATAGTTCATGTATGACTTTCCTAGGTTGAGAGCCACACCAGAACTATAAATGTGTAAATAGATCTATGTAATGACTTTTACCTAATAGGCCAGAGTAAAAAATTTAAATTTTTTTTGTTGTGTCAGGAGCAACCTGAAAAACTGCAAGTCGCTTCTGGTATGAGAGAATTGGCCATCTGCAAGGATGTTGCCCAGGGGACGCCCGGATGATTTGGTGTTTTATCATCCTTGTGGGAGGCTTCTCTCATGTCCCCACATGAGGAGGTGGAGCTGATAGAGGGAGCTCATCCGCCTCTCCCCGGATTTGAACCTGCGACCTGTCGGTCTTCAGTCCTGCTGGCACAGGGGTTTAACCAACTGTGCCACCGGGGGCTCCCAGTTGAAGCCTGGGAAGACAGTATGGCAAACCTCAATTTTGAGAGTGTCTGCCAGGAAAGCAGCCATCTTGAGAGAGGAAAGTTAGAAGATGGGAGGAGCTGGCGGTCTCCTGGGATTGGCTAGAGCAGAGGAGGAGGAGCCAAGTCTTGGGAGGGAAAAGATTTCAGCTTCTGGGAGAGAAGTGATTTGGGGATTTGGAAACTGAAAGAAGAAGAAGTGGTTTTGAGACTGGGTTTTTCTGAGAGAGAGCGTTTGGGTCAGGCAAGGCTGAATAATTGGCAAGAAAGGTCAAGCAGCCTCCTGATTACTTGTGGGAGACAACACAAGGGATTTGCTCTCTAGATTGAGTAAGTTACCTAACATCATATTGCTACCACAATATAGATCAGCTGGGGCCTGATTCCTCCACACTATTGTCCAGTAGTGTGATATTACATATAATCCTTTATATTGGTGTCCAGCAGCGCGATATACATTGATATTTGGTATTTAGATTATTTTGGGGATAGTCCTTCTTTCGTTACAGTGGTGGCAAGTGGTGTGATTTATAATAAGGGATTCCTTGATTAGTTACAATCTACAAACTTAGAATGATGAAGTTGGAAGAGACCACAAAGCCATCCATGCAGGAATACACAATCAAAGCACTCCTGACAGGTCCATTTAACCTATGTTGAAAACCTCCAAAGAAGGAGGTTTGCCAATCTGCCAATCTAGAAGTTCAAAAACGTGCAAACGTGAGTAGATCAATAGGTACTGCCTTGGCAGGAAGGTAATAGGGCTCTATGCAGTCATGCCGGCCACATGACCTGGGAGGTATCTATGGACAATGCTGGCTTTTCGGCTTAGAAATTGAGATGAGCACCACCCCAGAGTTGGACATGACTAGACTTAATGCCAGGAAAAACCTGGCATTAAGTTGCCGCCTAAATTTCTCTTTTCTAAGCTAAACATATCCAAGTTGCACCTCATAGTGCTTCCCTTTCAGACTTTTGATTATATTTTCTGGATATGTTTCAGCTTCTTAATATCTCTGTTAAATGGTGGTGTTCAGAACTGGAAATAGTGTTATTCCAAGTGAGGTCTGACCAAAGCAGAATAGAATGGTACTCTTCATTCTCTTGATCTAGACCCCCCCCCCCAGGTGTTATGGGTCTCAACTCCTAACAGCTGGTAAGCTGGCTGCAATTTCTGGGAGTTGAAGTCCAAAACACTTGGAGGACCAAAGCTGGGGAACCACTTATCTAGACTATACTCATATTTACTTCCATGTGATGGAAACATGACATTCCATAACCATATTCACAAAACAAAACCCTACACTTACACTGTAGATAGTCCTTGTCAAAACGGGTCACAGGATACTGTGTCAGAGCTTGACTTTCCATACCCTCTATTTTGCAATACCTGAGGAGAACTACAGCAAAGCTGATTTATTGTTGACTAGCTGTACCCTGCCACGTGTTGCTGTGGCCCTCAGATAAGAGAGGAATTCCAGTTGAAACAATAGATAGAAAGGGACAAATGGAAGGGACATTGATAGATGGAACAGAAGGTAGATGGATAGAACATAGATAGGTTGGTAGGTAGTAGGTAGATAGATATGCAGATGGAGTGATTGATGGATTGAAGGATGGATGGACATACAGACAGACAAAGGGGGTTGGACTGGATGGCCTCTGGGACTCCCTTCCAACCAGTTGACCATCTGTCAGGAGGGCTTTGATGGTGTCTTCTTTTACTGTAAAATGAGGTTGGACAGGATGGCCTTTGGGGCCCCTTCCTATCCCTCAAAGGGTTTCCCACGCCCGTCCTTCCGTGTGTGGCATCAAAGGGCTCCTTCCCCGGCGATCCCCTTCCCTCCCCGTCTTCCCTCCTAGCCACTCGTTGCTGTGGCCTAGCTTGGTAATATGGAAAATATTTGAAAAGTAAACAACTAAATACTTTTTAAATTAAAATACTAACAGTAAAATATTTTAAAGTTAATTAAGTATTTTTAGATTTAAATTTTGTAAAGGTAAACAATTAAATATTTTTAAATTAAAACATTAAAATTAAATAATTTAAAATTAAATAATTATTTTAAAAACAAATTATTAAGTAATTAAATATTTCATAATTAAATCAAATAAAATACATTAAAATAAAGTATGATGAAATGTAAATATTAAATATGTATAAATTATAATATTAAAATTAAAG